CCCCCCCCGAAGAGTTGACTTAAAAACGAAAAAGTCACAGCTTCTGAAGATTGGCCACGTATGTTTCTGTGTCGGTGCTCTCAGTAACAACATCATAATTATGTACAAAGTCAGTGTGTTTAGAAAACTTTACGCATGAATCAAAACTTTGCTTGAAATTGAATTGTGTTCGGGAAATGAGTTTGACGAAGAAAATTAAAAATCTTTGTATCGTAAAGACAGTCGGATGCAAGACTTTGGCATCATATTATCACGAGCTCTGTGATATAATTTACGGACCCCAGTTTCTGATTTTTGGGAGAGTATTTGCCACAGCGGTTAAAAGTTGTCTTTGCAGCACAAACAATCAATGCGGTTAAATCACAGTTACGTGTTTCGCACAATTCTGGTTTCATTTCGTACTAACTCCCGTTTTTGTGACGGGAATTCAGCATCTCTCAATGTGATTTACTTCAAAACGGGAAAAAAGAGGCTTTAAAAAAAAGATAAGATGAGATAGGATAAATCGTTATTGTTCAGATGCTGGCACGTTGTTAGGTGTCTCAATACACACACACACACACACACACACACAGACAAACACACACATGTATGCACACGCACGCTCACACACAGACCCAGACACACAGACACACATGTGCACAAACACGTGCACACGCACAGACACACAGACACACAGACACACACACACTCACACACAAGAAAGTAGCACATGACAGCACTAAGCTCGTGATATTCTACACAGCGTATACATGAGGGTGAGCCGAATAGTACCAGATATCAACGTTGTGCAGTTGTGACTTTAACTTACAATCACTTTATTTTCTTTTCTCCTTTCATTGTTCTAAGAGCTCAATACAAATCACCGTGAAACAAAAGCTGTTTCTTTGTTTGAATAAAAAGATGCACATCAGCACATTAACGGCAATTTAGTGCTGGGAAAAAGCAAGGAAGACAGAGGGAAAAATCTGAGATAAAGAAAGGAAGTAGAATCTACAATTTGCTACCTCAGAATTACGAGGTTTTATCTGATATTCTTGGTCATTTTGAGTTACTAGGAACATGAAGTCAGAAACCAAATTAAATGTTCTATCTGATCTATCAAAGTCGTAAGATTATTCGGAGTAGTTATCAAGTATCAAGATATTCAAAGAATTACAACTGAAAAACCTTGACATGTTGAGAAACTTAACGTTTTTGATGTCAAATTTGTCAAAACTAGATAGTGTGCAGATAGAACTTTGACATTCTAAAAGGTAGCGCAGTGCGTGCCCTCCTGCAAAAAAACAAAGACACAGACTGGTATTTATTATTCAATATGGACACCTTTGAAATTTGTTACTCATGGTAGACTCCTTTGGAAAAAAGAATAAATTGCAGAAACGAAACAAAACCCTCTGGTGTGAGGAATTTTGTGGCGAGATGAGTTTGTGATAATCTCCAAATCTCAGTCTCCAAATCTGATGAGAAGGCCTTTTTTCTCCTCCTTAACAAGCAAACATGTATTTTTACCGTTGTCGTTCTCAGGGGAAAACGGCATGCGTCACAGGAGAATTAATACTTTCTTTCAGGTGTTCCCATTATGGACTACTGCACTCTTTTTTCTATACACGACCGTTTTAGATATTATGTTATTTGTATGTGACTACAGCTGCTTCAAATTTAAAATAAAAGTGTTTATGGACAAATTTGGAACAAGCCAAACTTAAGATCAAAACAAAGAGGAAGAAAAACCGAAAATTGTGACTTATGTCATTCCACCCCCCCAAAAAACAAACAAAACAACAACAACAACAACAACAATAATAACAACGACAAAAACAACAACAGCATATACAAAAAAACAACAACAGCAACAACAACAACAACAACAACAACTACAACAACAACAGCTGTATATTTCATTTACACCATTTGCGAACAGAATAGGCAGAATACAAGATTTTAAAACTGTTTTGGACTTATGGGATGATTTAAGAAGAGGGGGGGGGGGTGCTTCGATTTGGCCTGTCAGAGTCAACTGGAATTGCAAGATAATGGACCTCAACTTTTTGTGCGAGCAATGTAAAGAGTCTGACACTTACACCACTTGCCTGGCCAAAGCACAAGTCAGTGATAAGATAATTCTATACAACTAACAATCTGAAAAGCTGAAATAACCAGTGCACGTGTTACATGCAAAGGTAAAAGCGAATCTATAAACGAAGCAAAAAGCGTGTCTTTAAGAGACCTCCATAAAACATCATCAGACCATTGCGAAAGAGGTGCTTGAAGGAAGGATGTGAGGCAGGAGAGCCAGGGGGAAGAAGATAAAGGGTAACACGGTCGGACTACATTAAAACATGAACTGGCCTGAGTATAGTAGAATGTGTAACAGCAGCTCTCGACCGTGAAGAATGGAGGATCAACCTCTGTGTCAGAGATGACACTTTCAGGCATATTTCCCTCCCAACTTGATACACTATAAAAATAATAAAAATCGGGCCACTGTCGAATTGGAACCCCATTCTTTTAACCCTATCCGTACGCCTGGGGTAATTTTGTACTGTATTCTAGACATTTTAGAATACTTCTATTGCGAAGATCTCTGTGAAACTTTCGGTAATTCAAAAAAAAAAAAAATCATCTTGACAGACTGCTGTGCAAAGAGTACGGATCAGATTAACGAGTAAGTTTCCTCTTTGGAAAGTGGGGGCACAGAGTTCCCCACGTTGTATGGATACGATAGTAAAACACGACGTACGGATAGGGTTAAGTGCGTTCTGAGTCCATGCCCCAATTTACTGCACGAACATAGACGATAAAAAGCACTTGTGCATTCTTTAAGAAAATAATGTAGTGTTCTTTTGCAAGATCGGTCAACATTTAGAAACATTTTAGGAATATACATTTGCAGGGTTTTTTTCTCACTTCGACGTTCTGTCTTTTGTATAATTGATCAAAGTCATGCTCATAACTCTGCAACAGGGAACTGCTGCTTTTCCCCCCTAATCCTTACTATCGTCATTTTCCTCTACTTATTTTGTATGTTTGTCACACTCTAGTGACCCGGCGCTATTTCCGGGGGTGTCTTGATAGTCGAAGCAGACTTTGTGCTATTGAAGCAAGAGAGGTGAACAGAGTAATCCTGATTCCCTGTAATGACTTCTCTGTTGACATCCACTCCTAGGCGCTCATATGACCTTATGCAGTTGCGAGCGCCGTAAAACCTCTTCTTAAACTTAAAACTGTCTTTTGTATGATCTAAAAAAGAACACTCCACTTGAACTTGTCAGAACAGAAATATAAAACAAGCCTTACGAGAGCGTTTTGTTATTAATTCACAACGGACTTGACTGTATTAAAACACGGTCAACGGTCACGTTGGGATAATTTCAGACAAAGAATGACTCATGTTTAAAATCACACGAATTTCAGAATTGGGCATAAGACGAAAATGCCTAGAGTATCGAATGTGCACTTAAAAATTATCTTCAGCCCCAGATCTTATTGAAACGGTGAGACACTGTAGCCGAACCAATGAAATTTGAGACGATGTGTAAAACGCCAGGGACCATAAAATAACTGCAAGGACAATAGTACCACTCTCGTTTCAACGGACGTTGGCGAACGAACTTACGATAACAATCTGAACGTGATATCGCCGACCGCGGAGATGCAGATGTTCTTTTTCTAGTCACCAACAATGGGAGGGGTAAGAGAAATAAAGGGTTTAATTCCACTTACGGTCATTTCGGGGGAAAAAATGCAAAAAATGCAACCTCGCTGCCCTCCTCCCCTCTTTACACACAGAGGCAGACAGACAGACAGACAGACAGACAGACAGACACATACACCCACACACACACACACAAACACACACGCACTCTCTCTGTGTGTCTCTTTTTCTC